ACATACCTCTATTTCATTTAGTTCTTTTTTGGCGGTCCCTCCTTTTCTTTCCTTTGGGGGTTGTTTGTCTGTCTCCCCATTTTTGTTCTCACCAAAGGATCTAGGTGTCAAGTTGCATGGGGCCTGTGGCTGCAGTGGTGGGCTTGTTGGTAGGTCACAAGGTCGTAAGCAGCAGCTGCTCCTTGGGCAGTCGCGGGGCAACCGCTCCTTGTGTGGTAGCGGAGCAGTGGGTGCTCATGGGGCAGCTGCTCCTTGCGTGGTCGTGGGGCAGCTGCTCCCAGGGTGGTCACAGGCAGCTGCTGTTCCTTATGCTGTTGGAGATGGTGGCTGCTCCTCAGTCAGTCACAGGCTGCGGCTTCTCGTGGGGCGGCTGCTCCTCGGGCAGTCACAGGTGGTGACTGCTCCTCGTTCAGCAGCAGGGCTGCTTCTCCTCATGTGGTCACTGGGTGGCTGCTCCTCATACAGTCTCAGGGCAGCTGTTCCTCATACGGTCGCAGGTGGTGGCTGCTCCTGGGGGAGTTGCAGGACAGCTGCTCCTTGTGTGGTTGTGGGTGGTGGTTGCTCCTCCAGCAGTCACGGGTGCCGGCTGCTCACATGGCTGCTGGAGTGGTTGTGGTGCCTGGGGGTGCTGGGTAGTGCTCGGCTGTTCGCAATTGCAAAGCCTAGGGCTGCTGCGTAGGGCTCAGCTGTTCGCATGCATGGTCATGATGCCCAGGGCTAAAGCGTTTGGGTCGTGGGAGGGGAGTGCCCTCTAGAATTCACAGGAGCCTGTGGCCAGGGAGGCTGGAGTCCCAGTGTCTGTGGGTCGGCAGCTGAAGCAGCAGGTCCCTGGCCAGAGTGGCTGTAGTATCTGGTGTGGTGTCTGAGGGCACCCTGGGTGGAGGTGAGGCTGGGCTCCCAGTCACAGCAGCTCTCCCCTTCAAGATAGTGCAGCCTCTTCAGCAGAGTTGGTGCTCCAGGGAAGATTACAGCCATAGCAGAGGCTGCCCGGCTATGCGAGTCTATTCCGCCAGCCCCCGAAGGTCCTGCGAGATCTAACTGCCCCTCACTCAATCACACACACACACACGCACATACACACACACACACACACACACACACACACACACCACATCCACACACTGCCCTTTCATTCCCTCACTCACTCACACTCTCTTCCTCACTGCAGTCCTCTTGGCCACCATCTTGGAATCCCTCGTATATAAAAATTTATACCACATTAATTAAAGATTTAAATTTTTAAAATTCAATCAGAAAACAACTAGAAATATATAAATAGTTACCTATATAATACTGGTGTACCCATATTAAAATGATGTAGAAATGTAGCTATTGATATAGAAAAAAAGTTATCAAACAACATTTTTATCCCATTTTTTTAAAAAATACATATTTATATGCATAGAAAGTTCTGAGATGTGCATAAAAATGTTAATAGTGGCTTTTGTGAATAGTGTAATAAACTATTTTCCCTTCTTTTTATGTATCTATGTATGCATGCAATTATATGTGTAATAAGTTTTTTTTTCTTCCACTATCCTTAAGTCTTCTCTTTAGTATATTCCTATCCAACTGTAAGTTCTTTAAGGATTGAGTTGTGTTTCATTACTTACTGGGCTACCTACCATGGGCATGCCTGGTTAAGGACTGGGTGCTTGATGATGATCTGATTTCCTCAAAAACTGCTTTGAAGTCTGATGTAACAGTGCTAACTAAACCTTTAACCAGCTGCAATGGTCAGCAACTTGCCACTATAGACACCTTGTCTCTGGGAGCATATGGCTACAATGGCTGTCATCCCGGTGCTTTCCCAGGTTGAGGTGGCTGACTGGCTGGCTCGTAGATGGCTGATTAGGCTGCGCCTTTCTGTGTAAATCCTTCCCAAATAGCGTTCTTGTTCAAGGATGTGGCCTTTCTCAGGTTTGATTGCTGCCTCTTGGTCAATAGTATCTTTCTCATCAGAATCTCCATGCACATTATCAGGAATTCTCAATACTGTTAAAAGCATAAAGGATAGGCAGCAGAGAAAGAATACAAAGGACTGGAAGATGAGAAAAGGAGAAAAGTGAGAATAAAGCCCTAACCGGTTTAGCTCAGTGGATAGAGCGTCGGCCTGCGGACTCAAGGGTCCCAGGTTCGATTCCGGTCAAGGGCATGTACCTTGGTTGCGGGCACATCCCCAGTAGGGAGTGTGCAGGAGGCAGCTTATGGATGTTTCTCTCTCATCAATGTTTCTAACACTCTATCCCTCTCCCTTCCTCTCTGTAAAAAATCAATAAAATATATATTTTTTTAAAAAGTGAGAATAAAATTATGAATATTTATTACCTTAAGTGTAGCTGGTCACTAAACTCAACCTAAAACACCCCTTGCACATAGTAATACCTACCATTACACATGAAATTGCTTTGACAGGGAAGTCTATACAGACATTGGTTTCCAAGGGACCTGCGCAAGCTCTGATGACCACACTTGGCAGCCCTCCAGGTTAGATACTTTAGTGACTTCTGATCTAGCCTGCTCAAATACAGCCTCTGATAGAGCTTGCTCTTAGAGGTAAAGATCATTCCAGGCTTGTTGCTGGATAAAATGAGATGATATATGGAAATATGTTTTATAAATATCTATATATATAAAAGGCTAATATGCTAAGTGTCCAACTGTCCGACAGGTCGCTATGATGTGCACTGACCACCAGGGGGCAGACACTCAACACAGGATCTGCCAAGCTGCAGTGACTTGGCAGCAGCAGTTCTCAGGTGATGCACCCTGAAACCAGAGAGGAGGGAGCCTGACTCCTTGTGGGGCCATGCAATTCCACCTTCAGCTGTGGGTTATGTTGTTACTGGGGCACTATCGGTCCTGAATCTGGCTTACTGCACACTTGTGTTTGTGTTCTACACCCTGTATGACAGCAATGTTGCAGAGTGCCCTCTCACACTCCAGGACCCCTCAGGGGATGTCGGAAAGCTGATTTCAGCCCAGTCCCCACAAGCCAGGCAGAGGAACCCCACCTGCCAGAGTGACCCCACTCAGTCCACAGATGCCCTTTGAGCCACAGCGCCATCCCAGGTGCAGCCAGACAGGGAGAGACTGCAAAATGTTGGCTCCAGAGCGTGTGTCCAGCCTATCTCACCCAGTCCTGCCCCACTGGCCACCATCTAATTAATTTCCTTTCAATGTGCATGAATCTGTGCACTGGGTCACTAGTGTTTTATAAAACAACTATAGACCCAGTGCACAAATTCGTGCACCTTGAAAGGAACTGTGGGCCGCAAGACTGCGGTGGGCATAGGGGTAGGTCTCAGCCCATCCTCCATGCCCCGGTCTGGCCCCTCCTGCCACAGCCCCCGGTCCCCTGTCTGCCAGCAGCCCGGCTCCGGCTGCTGCTGCTCCCATGCACTGATAGCGCCAGCCCAGCTCACACCCACTGACAGCGCAGAGCGATTGGGGCCAGTGCCTGCAGCGGATACAAGCAGCAGCTTCAGTGCTGGTAGCAGGTGCAAGCAGAGCTGTCACCGGCAGCGGGTGTGAGTGGTGACTGCCGGCCCCAATCGCCTCTCAGGGGGAGGTGGAGAAGCCCTGAGGGGTGATTGGGGCCAGCAGCTGCCACTTGTACCCACTAATGGCACTGAGTGATCCTTGCACCAGACTGGGTGCGAGCGGCAGCACTGGCAGCTGGTGCGAATATGGCTGGCACCGGCAGCAGGTGTGACTGGGGCCAGTGCCGGCAGCAGGTGCGAGTGCCCGGCTGGTCCGCAGTGCGTGGGAGCAAAGAATTTTCAGTAACCACCAGAGGCTCACCCCGGTGATAGTGACAGGTGCCCCGCCTTGGTCTGGTGCCCCCACTCAGTTGCTCCACCATCCCGCTGCGGCTGATGCCTACCATGTTCCATGCTCTGGCACCTGCTGCCGACTCCCGCCATATTCCACGCGCAACCCCTGGTGGTCAGTGCACATCATAGTGACTAGTTCAGTTGTTCAGTAGTTCAATTGTTCTACCATTTGGTCTATTTGCATATTAGGGTTTTATATATATAGTAGTAGATATACAAATGCTTGGTGTTCTTTTTATAAGCTCCATGGTTTAATGTTGTCCAATAGTGTCCTCATGGAAGTTTTGAACAGATTTTAAATAACTGTATCTAAAGAAAACAAAAAATAAAAAATGAAAGAAGGAAAAGAACATCAAATACACCTAAGGAGTGAAGATAATTGCATCTCCAGGAGGGAAAAACATGTCTGGGAGGCACCTATACTGTGTATGTCTGAGTAGTGATTGTCACCTAACACTATGAGAAAGACGGGGGGTGGGGGGGGGAGGGTTTGAGTGCCCTCAATTATTAGAATTATTTTCTTTGGAAGTAATTTCCAAAAAAATGGTTGTGATTTCATTTTCAATAAAACTGTTGACACTTCCTTAAATTGTCTGTTAAGTTATGGTAAATTACAGTAAGAATTCATGTGGCCCCCACATGTACTGTGGTCGCACTGTTTTAATTACTAACTAAATTATGATAAGGAAGTGACTAAAATGTTAACTGCCACTGCTCTGCTCCTTCCATGAAAATGACCCTTTTTTCTTTCCAGATTCAGCACATGACACTTCATATCAGCTCCTAACCTAAATGCATAATTCTTCAGTCTCAGGACTTGCAGAATTATTGGAATGCCGTCCTAAGGTTATGGAGTTCTGCGTTTCTGAACATTTCAGCTCTATGGAGAAGCAGCCATTCCCTCACTCCAAAGGCAGCCTGAACAATTTTTTTATCCCTAGGAAAGAAGCTCCCTTGTACCTTTCTTGTTACAAGAGTAGCAAAACAATCATAAACAGACTGGGGAAGATTGACAGTTGGGAGATACCTTGTCAATTACCTGACCTTAGCATGGGGCTTCCTCACATTTGCAGTGTCTTGGGGTCCCTCCTAGGACTGTCTTGGAGAATAAACATTTTCTGTTAATTTCCAGTGATTTAATTTTCCATTTTCTTTTTGTAACAGGTCCAGTTAAAAACAAGAAAAAGGGTAAGTTCCTGATTTGATTAAATTGCTGCCATGTCATGTCTTTTCTAAAATTAGAAGAAAAAAAATTCAGGGAGTGGGATTTTTATAGTCTGGTTATCTATTATTTTATTCAATCACATGGGATCTTCTTGAGTGTTGTAGCTTCCAACGAACAACAACAACAAAAATAGATATTGTTTCTCAGTGATGATCCACAAAAGATAGAATTGCTTCTCTGGCAACATATGAATGTTGATTTTGCTTTTCTTTCTTGCTCCTTCTTTCATATGATTCAGTTTCTCTTTCCTTTATTCTTACTTGCTCCTTTCCCCTGCCCTTCTTTTCATTTCTCCCCCTCCTTTATCAAGTCAGTGATCAGGTATGAATGAAATCCTGAGACAGCCTGTAGGGAGTAGGTATATATATTACCTCCTGAGGGATGTCAGTACTTGGCCTCAAAGTTATCCCTGTTGTATATTTCAGATAGTCAGGGAAGGTATTTCTAGCTTTGGGGTTTCAATATCATTTTCTCTGTAATGGAAAAATTAGGCTGGAGTAATACCCTGATCTTTTGGTCTTTTCAAAGAAGCTCTAGTTGAGCAGATCCATTGTGCCATTGTTGGGTCAGTAAGTCTGTGGTGTGCTTGCCATGGGACTAGCCCAAGTGCTTGCTTACTTAAGGAGAACCCAATGACAGAACAGGTTCCAAAATATTGTACAGGATCAGGTAATATGGTTCACTCCTTAGGACTAAAGAACCTATTGCAAAACCAGTTCTAAATATCTATTTGTTTATGTGTTCTGACTTAGGAGGAAAATAGAGTGAAATTAATCACTTTTCATTAAAATGTTTTAAGTGAAATGATTCTGTCTGTTAAGATTTCTGGAGCCTTATAGAGTACATTATCATCCCCAGACTAGCCACAAAGACTGACTTCAGCTGCCATTTCTCTGAGTGCGAGGGTGCTCTGGTGGTTGAGGTGCAGTGGCCACATGGAAAACCTATGTCCCTGCTGTAAGGAAGCCTGGCCTCCTGTGGACCTGAGCTGAACAAAGCTGGAAAACAGCCAGAGAGCTGGAGCTAGTGAGAAAACCTTTTTCTGCGGAGCCTGGGCATCCACCAAAATTATTTGTCTTTTAAGAAAGTAAATTTGACTTTCAAACGTTTAGTTTTTAACACTTGTCATATTCCTTTAAGACAGACATTATAACAAACCCAGAATGCTCACCTGGCTTGAAGAAGGACACCCTGTGCTCCTAACACAAGCCTGGGGATGACTTGCCTTTTTAATAAGTAGACTTGAGAGCACTTTCTAATCACAGCTACTAGTATTTTTTTTCTACTTCCTTGTTCACTAGACAGTGAATAAGCATCTTATGTTGGTCAGGAGTAGAGATACAGAGATGAAGAAAATGGTTCCTTCCCTTAAAAATCTCCCAGTGCAGTTGGAACCGTGGAAGTACGCACAAATAATTACTGTCTAGTCTAAAAAATGATGTCATTGGAGCATGAACAGCATGCTGTGGGAGCACAAAGAAGGAGCAAGTAGTTCTCATTGGGAGAGTGAGGGACCAAACTCAGAGAAAACAGTATTTAACCTGGACTTGAAGGATGAGGGGAAAAAAGAGGGGAATGATACTCCATCAAAGGAAATAGCATACTCAGATCTCTCAGAAACATGAAAAAGCATGGCATGCTTGGGGAGCAGCAAGTAGGCTAGTGATTTCCCAGAAAGCAGCTCCCAGTCTCAGTGTTATCCGATGGGTGAGCCCTGGGAATGGCAATAGAAGTCAGCTGTCTAGGCCAGAAGCTCTGGAATTACATTCAGATTTCAATGCCTCTACCAAGGACTTGGGTCACTGCCTCACACTGCTACCTGTGTATGGGCCATTACTGGGGGGAGATGCATAGAGGACTTAAACATCTACTTTGGCTGAAAGTGATTTAGAAGCCATTTAATACAGATTTCTATGGACACAGTGAATAGGCACATGCCTGAAGAGTTAAGTTAAATTGAGTTAATTTCCATTCTTCAATGGAATTTCTTCCTCTCTCTCTCTCTCTCTCTCTCTCTCTCTCTCTCTCTCTCTCTCTCTCTCTCTCTCTCCCACACACACACACACACACACACAACACACACATTTTCACTCACTTTATGTTCTTTCAACAATTTGGACTTTGCTAATAGGTTAGCAAAATACCCTTTTGTAAGGTTATATTTGAAAAGAATGTATACTTTCATCTAAGACTACAAAGGGTAACTTTCTAAGTATAAAAGTCTCTGGGCTTTTGTATCATGAAGTGCTCTGTTAAAATAAGGAAATACGGAGAACAAATTCAATCCTCTAAAGCAGCGGTTCTCAACCTGTGGGTCACGACCCCTTTGGCGGTCGAACAACCCTTTCACAGGGGTCACCTAAGACCATCGGAAAACACATATATAATTACATATTGTTTTTGTGATTAATGACTATGCTTTAATTATGTTCAATTTGTAACAATGAAATTGGGGGTCACCACAACATGAGGAACTGTATTAAAGGGTCGCGGCATTAGGAAGGTTGAGAACCACTGCTCTAAAGCCATCTTCTTGGTCCGAGTGGTCATGGTCCTCTCTGAGCCTGCTTTCTGCGAGTATGCAAGCACAAGAAGCACACTTGCCTAAAACTGGGTGCTGAGGAGCAAAGGGGACCAGCTGCAGAACTAGATCACAGCAAGAGTTTTTCCCTAAATGCCTTCTAACATTTTCATAAGTGAGCATTCTCTGTTTACACTTGCAACCATTATTCTCTTTGACTGGAGGAGTTTCTGACTGTAATTCTTCCAAAATTACATTATCAATCACAAGAGACTCACAGTATTGACACTAAAGTTGTACTACCCACAGAACACCCTCTAGCTTGAAAAATTACTGTGAGGCCTGCAAATTCTGGAACATAGCACAGCCTAATGTGCACCATCCTCTGAGTACACGCAGCCCAGAGAACAGTGAGGGAGAAGCAACCCTTACAACCAGGCTAGGGAAGTTTCCTGACTGCCAGTGGGAAGTCAGTGCTCCTTAAGGAACCTCAGTCTTGGGAGGAAACTTAGAGAAGTCACTGATGGAGAAACTAAGGCTCCAGGAGAGGAAGGGATTTGCCCAAAATGTGTCCATGGCAGATTTTGGAGCTTATGGATTTATCTCTTGACTACAGATCCCATGTTATTTCCACTACACTAGCTGGGATTGAAACTTGGGCACTGAATGAGACTTACTTGGAAGCTACTCAAATCTGAAGGAAGATGGCTTTCCTGTTCAGCATCTTGAAATTGGTTAGATCTAGAAACTGGGAAGATCCAATCTTTTGCTGCTAAGTGCAGTGAAAATGCTGAAGCTCCTACCTCTAGGTCTTTATGGCAACAGGGGCTTTCCTGCGAGAGAGGCTCTCTGGACCTTCCTTTCCTCTTGGACAAAGGACGCCACAATGACGCCATTGTTTCATCCCAAATGCAGGTGTGCTTAGACATGGACAACTGGCCTTTTGAGCACGTTGCCATGGGGATTGGGTTTCTTGAACATGTAGCATTGTTCTTAAAGGAGGACATGATAAATGAGACAAGATTTTTCTGCTTACGAGGCTGCAGAGCAAGGAATTGGGGAGCAGTAAGGAGGTATTTAAGTGAGACTTGAGAGGGTTGTATTTAAAACTAAGAAAGTACCACCGGTGAAGACATTGTGGTGGGTCTGATAAAAGGCTTCCATTCCTGGGACTTCCACCAAACTGTGAGAAAGTGGGGAAGGGAGGAAGGAGACAGCCACCTGTGACCACCTACAGTGCTTGAATTGGGCTGCACAGAGCAGAGGAACCAAGCAGGATGAGCTGCAGGTTTGACTTCAAGACTGGAGTTAGCACTCACTGAACATAACTACATACTGTTGGTATTGTCGGGGGGACTGGAACTTGGAATAGGAGGATCAAGACTGTTCTGAAAGGATAGTGAGGACAAAAAGGGGAGGAGTTGGTGGGCTTGATTAATAATACATTCAAGAATAGGAGACTAGGGCCTCTGAGGAAAGACTGGGAAGCTGGATTATTTAGCCTATAAAATGGAGGTTGATAGGTGACAATGTCTTTGAGAATACAAGGGTTATTATATGTATGATGGTAACTATTCTTTTCTATCTACACAAAGACCTTAAACTGTTGCAGAAGGGATTTCAGTTAAATATATAGAAAAACTTCCTAACAGTGAGGGGTAATGAACATTGGGACATGTTACCAAGGGAGTGTGCAGAATTTCCTTCCCAAGAAACCTTTAAAAATAAGATTTAGAGAGGTCAGCTGAGAAAGTAAAGTCTGATGCCTCCTCCTCAGCTCTTTCTACTCCCCACCTCTCCTTCTTCCCCTCCCTCCCTCCCTCTCTCTCTCTCCCTCCCAGTCTTCATTCCCAGCAAGCACTTCCTCCATGACCCCAGTTCCTGTACATCCTGCCTCCTATCAGAAGCCTTCCTGGAGCTGATGTTACTCCTAAGGGCAGGCTGTCCTTTTAGCTTTCTCTTCCATCTGCATCAATCCACCAAACAAAGAAGTAAACATGAAAGCCACTCTCTTTGACAACAGCCCAATATTCTGAAAACTGGCCCCTTGGTAATTCAGATCCTTTGAACTCAGATGAAATATAACGTCCTTCATGAAGCCCTTCCTGACCTCTTCAGCATGTTGTCCCCACCAAGAATATGGCACTTCTACTTTCCTGTGACTGTATCTGTCTTCTCGCTAGACTGAGCTTCTTGAGGGCCATTTATTTCTATTATCTTCAAACCCAACTCTGTAAATGATTATTCATGAAAGGAGAGAGAGGGAGAGAGAGACAGAGAGAGAGAGAGAGAGAGAGAGAGAGAGAGAGAGAGAGAGAGAGAGAGAGAGGTGTGTGACAAAGGTGTTCACCTCTTTAATAGCAGGAACTCTCAAGTGCTGACTATTTGTCATTGGAAGTCCATTGAACTGACAGTAGTACATCCTCATTCAATAACTACAAATAGAACACTGACTCTTGTTTTTCAGGAAAGAAGGCAGGACCTCCTGGGCCAAATGGCCCCCCAGGACCTCCAGGACCTCCAGGACCCCAGGGACCTCCAGGGATTCCAGGGATTCCTGGAATTCCAGGAACAACTGTTATGGGCCCACCTGGCCCTCCAGGTCCTCCTGGCCCTCAAGGACCTCCTGGCCTCCAAGGGCCTTCTGGTGAGTTCCTGTTTCTCCGCCCTCCCCCAGGCTCCTTTACCAGTACTTTAATAGAGCAGGGGTGGATGATCCTGAGAGCAGTTTCAAATGCTGCTGGTTGTATGGCTGTGCAATAAAAAATGCAGGTCTCCTAGCTCAGTGTAAAATTAGAGATTAAACAAGCCAGTAGGATCTGACCTGCTCTAACTTCTTGTTTATACCAACCTGTCCAGAAGGAGTCACCTGTTCTTGACCTGTTTTAACCTTTCTATCACAAGTTCTCCCTTACTCTAGGCCTCCTTGTAGTGGGCCAGTAAACTCATATGAGCCTGAGACAGAGGCCCTGAGGGTTCACTGAACTTCCTGTAAGAGATGGATTGGCTCTGCTCTGATTCCCAGCATCTAATTCCTGTGCTGATGTTCATATGGGGAGGAATGTTCAGGACTGGGCAAGATACCAGTCCTACAACAGTCTTATCCCATGAATTCTAAGATGCCCTTCTCAGAGGTAGACAAGCAGTTGCTGAGAGTCAAGGAGTTGAAAACTTATGAATCACTCAGGCTATGGGAGAAGCAAACCCAGGCACCAAGACCATCCTGTCGAGGAACCAAGTGCTCCTTGAACTACATCCTTACCCAACCGCATTACCCTTTCGAATAACATTTCATCTCTTTGCATCTTTCCCTTTGGGCCCAGAAGGGCATCCAAGAGATATAGATGCAGATCCAAAACTACCTAATTGGACTTGACAGGAATCAGACTGCCTGGGGTTGGGCCAGTTGTTATTTTCCTCTCCAGCTCCCTTTCTGTATCCTGAGGCCTTAAAGAAATGGGCTCTTTACAGCTGACTTCTCTAGGTCCACAAATTCTGCAGCAGGACTCAGATTCTTTGATTCATAGTTCAAATAGGGCTAATCAGTGTTACCATGGCCACAAGAGATGGAGTTGGAGGTGTTTTTTTTTTAATTTAATCTTTCCATGAATATTAATTGAGCACTTTCTATGTGTAAGAGTTGTATTGATAAGTGGTCCTTGTTCTCATGTAGTTTATGTCCTAGAGGAAAAGAGAGATGATTAAAGAAGCAGGATACTTACAAATGGCAATGCACTCTATGAAGAAAATTAATAGAAAGCAAGCAAAAGGCTAAAGACTTGCCTCAGGGTCACACAGTGACAGGAATGCTCTCTCATCTGTCTCCGAGGGTGCTCAGTGGGACTTGCTAGGCCCACTGAAGATGCAGGTCAGGGACAAGTGACACAAGAAAGGGGTGCCCTCTCCCATTGCAAGGCTTGGCTGCAGGGATCACAGCTCCCTGCCACTGGCTCCCTGGATGAGGAGAAAAGGAAGTAGGAAGAGTTAATCTTCTAATTGTCCTGTCCTCTTTCACAGGTTCTTCAGATAAAGCTGGAACTCGAGAGAACCAGGTTGGCTGGGCATTGCTCTCTTCCTGGGGAGGAGGGAAGGCCACAGGACTAGAGCCACCTTTGAGTTTGCCACCTATTAAATTTGCTCAGGCTTTATTTTGTGAGGATACCCTGGTGGTTCTGAGGCTTCTTCCTCAGAGCCACTCCCATCTCTGTGAATACAAAGCTTTGCCCCAGGGTCTGCCTTTAGCTAAGGGAACTGAGTCCTCCCTTGGCCATTTTCCCTATTCCACAGGAGACAGAGGGTTACCATATCCACACACGTTAGTCAGCTAAAATGAGCCACTAGACAGGCCCTATTCACCTTGGCCTCCAACTCCTCTGTCCACCCCAGACACCATGTCAGCACTCAGACCGCCTGGGATCAGGAGCTTAGAAGGTTAAGAGTATGTCATTGAAAATCAGCCAACCAGCTCCAGGCCAGCCCCAGCCTTAATGGCCTGAAGGGCTCCTCCCTAGTCTTTGAGCTTCCTAATCTGTCTCTATTGGTAGGTTCTGCTGCCTGGCCTTGTCTCATCTCAGCCTCCCTCACTACAGCTGTTCGGCCACAATTAAACCTACATAGCTGCATAGAGCTTGATGGCTTCCAGGGCAATTTTGTATCCATCACCTCATTTGATCTTCAAACATTCTGTGAGAGAAGCCAGAAATTCTTCTAATTCCCACTTTACAGTAAGAGAAACGAGGCTCAGAGGCATTACATTTGGCTGAGGTCACATAGCTAGTGGCCAAACTACAAAATCATATTATCCTCTTGTCACACTGTGGTCACTAGCATCCCAAGACAGGGGAGAAGGATCAGAATTGGAATCAGAAAGAAGACTAGAAGTCAGAGGTGGAAACTGGTGGCTGAGTAAGCAGTCATTTCTCACAGTGACTCTTCTCTCTATCCTTCTCATCCTCCCAGCCAGCTGTGGTGCATCTGCAGGGCCAAGGGTCAGCAATTCAAGTCAAGAATGGTAAGAGTCAGAGTCAGCTCTGTAGATAAGAGGAGCTGCTCCTCCTCTTTACTCCCTGCTTCCAAATAATCACCCAACCTAGTTCCTCCCAGACCCCTGAGATACCCTGGGCACGAGGGAGCCATTCTCTACTCCATTTTGCCCTCTGCTGACTGTCCTGGGTAATTGCTTGCACCAAGACCAGCTGCAACACCCAAATTGCAATTAGAAACACTGTTGAGGAAGCTGAAAGGGACTTGAGACTTCCCAGTGGTTCTCAACCTTCTGGCCCTTTAAATACAGTTCCTCATGTTGTGACCGAACCATAAAATTATTTTTGTTGCTACTTCATAAGTGTAATGTTGCTACTGTTATGAATCGTAATGTAAATATCTGATATGCAGGATGGTCTCTTAGGCGACCCCTGTGAAAGGGTCGTTCGACCGCCAAAGGGGTCGCGACCCACAGGTTGAGAACCGCTTGTTTAGATGGAACGGAATTGTTGGGAGATGGAGGTGCTGTCAGAGTCACCATGAGGATATGTGTAGTTTGATCAACAGTCTCACAATACAAATCAGAGAAGGGAAAAACTACATAACTGCAAATTATTGTCTGGTAGGTCTGTACAGGGAGGTGGGGGGCATGTTAGATTCTCTAGGAAGTATGCCATGCTAGTGTCTATAAAAGGGGAGAATAGGTGTAATGAGGTTAATAAACACCAATTAAATGTAGTTCCTGCTTTTAAGAGATGGGGAAACAGAGTCCCAGAGAGATTGGACAATACCATAATAAATCATAACGTCTTATATTTGTATGGTACTTCACAGTTTTCAACATGCTTTCTTTGTCTTTTATTTTATTTAATCTTCACAACAACCCTATGAGGTAGGTATTAGCTCCTTCTTACAGAGCCAGAAACTGAAGCTCAGAGAGGTTTAATTAACTCACCATTCCGTTAAGTGTAGGAGCTTGGATTTAAAACCACATTTGCTGACTCTTTCCACTGCACTGTGCTACTTCAGTGATGTGTGTGTACACACCACTAAATGATTAGGTTCATTTTCTTCCCCAAAGAGACAGTCAATAAAGAAAAGTGCTTTGAAATAATGCCCAGTCCCCAGGATGCACAGAGCCTAAAATGCATGAACCCCCAGGAGCCTTGGGAAGCAGCAAGCCAGCCAAGATGCCAGATGCATACAGAGCTTGGAGGGGAAGGGAAGGGCTGGGCTGTGAGTATGGACACAGTAAATGAATGTTAAGGAACCTACTACATGAGGACAGCTTTGAAGAGGCCAGTCAGTTCTGACCTGGCTGGGCTCAGCTTTCTTAATGACTGGACTTAGCTACATCTGGGATTGCCATCTGGATGCGTGCCTCAGAAATGTAAGTAGGAGCAGAATGGCATCAGAACCCAAGCAGTCCTGCTGGGACCAGGTGCCTTAGGCCCCAGGGCTCTGGGTGAGCCATGACCACCATCTGTCCAGGAGGAGTGTGACAGACAGGAAACAGATATGTTTGGGTGTCTGGATGGGTGGCCTCTGTGTTTATTCTGTGCCAGAAACTACTGATTTTGCTCCCATTAGCACATCACAAGACTAGTCCCAAACCCTCTAGGTCAGTCTCCAGTAGCAGTCTCTGCTAATCTTCACTTGCACCAGAGGGGCTGTGGGTAGGAGGACATCATTCAGAGTGGATTTGAAGGGGTTGAACCAAGGAATCTCCTCCTAACTCCTATCCCATCATCACCTCAAGGCCAGTTTCCTCATGCCTCAAAGAGGCAGGCATCCTGAGACTAGCCAAGGATGGATGTTCAAAACATAATTTCTTGGCTGGAGAACAGATGGTTTTGAGGGGAAAAGGCCCCATAGGCTTGGACTCCCTTCTCTTGTGGTGGGAAGGCACACCACAACACCACTTCCCCCAGCAGGATGGAAAAGGAAGCTCTTCCTCTACCCTCACATGCTGGTTCTGTGTTGGGCCAAGGCCAAGGAAATATGGTGGCCCCTCCACCCCGAATGGGGTGGGGCTGAAAGACAGAAGCTTTACCAGGGGTGCCTCAGCTCCCAGACACCCTTGCCATCCCCTTGGCTGGTTCTAATGCTGCCTGGCAGTCTTCCCCTCCCTCTCATAAATACCCTTCTCCCCCATGGGCCTTATTACTGGTAGTTACACTCTCTGGCTACCATGAAGTCTGACTCACCCCTGATACCTAAGGTTCTCCAGGTCAACAATTCTTGGTCTAAGTGGTTTCCTGGGGGCCCAGGGAGGCTTTTCAGAAAGGAGTGGGTATGGAGGAATCTTATGGAGGAGAAAATCCATGAACCTCTGACAGGAGAGAGATTGTGGAATTATGGCTGGTGAAATCAAATGGCATAATAAGAGCTAGTCTGCCACTCAGTGTCTGAATTTTGCCTGTGCAGGCCCCAGAACAACAAAGAAAATTGGTCAGTGTGCCCACTCTCTTCTTACTCCCCAACTACAATTCCAACTACAAAGTGTTGGTTAAAGGCCTTTCTGGATGGAGGGGTCAGGGAAAGAGAGGAAGACAGACAGGCAGACCCCAGGGGTCTGAGCTTACAAATGCTCTTCTTAAAGCTTGGCCTCCTGGGCTACTTGGGTTGCACAGGGATGGGGTGGAGGTTGTGTACAACTTGATAATTCTTGTTTCTATTGCCCAGATTATTCTGACATCTACTGAGTGACTGCCCTTCTCTCATACTGAGATCTTTCAGGTGGAGTGCTCAATGACTGGTCTCGCATCACTATGAACCCCAAGGTGTTTAAGCTACATCCCCGCAGTGGGGAGCTGGAGGTACTGGTGGACGGCACCTACTTCATCTATAGTCAGGTAGAAGTGAGTACGGTCTTAGGCCTAACTCTTCTTATATCCAGAATGCAGATGCCATGCAGGCCATATAGGGATACTGTGGAGCCATCCAAGACCAGCCTGCTTTGGTGGATGAGGGGCTAGGGGGCACCATACTGGGAGGGAGTTCAAAAGAGGAAAGAGAGAGGGGGATGTTTGGATTTTTTCCTAGCCATATATCATTGAAAAACTGAAAAGAGGTCCCTCTCATACCCTGGCATCAATTCCCTCCTACAGGGCACCAGGCCCTTGTTCTTCCCCACCCACCCACCGCCCCCCAAGTTATTTGGTTCTACTGCCAAACTTGAACTCTGTCTGAGTACATTCTTTGAAAGTTAGTTCCAGGGATGCTGAGAACCCCTTCCCCCACACTGCTGGTTCTGCAATGAAGAGTGTTCCTGTGGACTTGCTCTTAACCTCAAAAAAACTTCTGACTATCTTTCCTTGTTCTTTCTCCCATTTATTTCTCTACCTTCTGTTTCTCTGTTATTCTTGCCTCCTTCCTGCTATCATTCTCCCAGAGCTTTTCTCCCTCTGTTTTTGTCCTTGTCCTGCCCAGGCCTACTGCCTATCCGCTTCCACCCCTGTTGGTTGCCTCCACTGGGTGGCTCCTATGAGCTAGAGGTAGATGAGCCTTGAGGTTGGGGCTTCTGTGGGGTGGGCAACAAGCAGGCAGATTACAGCAGGACTGTTGAGCCAGCAGAAGGGCCTCACAGGGGAGTGGCCAGAGAAGGTGGGTTAATAGGTATTTGCTAAGTCCATCAAGCATCCTGGCAGAGATTGAGTGCTGATTCAAGAAATTATATGGCACCAGAACGCTCTGCTCCCTCCTACAGAGCCCATGTAGGAAGCAACCTTTAATGAAATGATTCAGGGTAAGAGATGGGGGTCCCAATCCCCAGGGGGCACATAAATGTAATTCCAGTGTCCTAAGGGGCATTTTTCCTAAGCTCCATCAAAGCTTGGTAGTGAAAGATAAACAAATTAATTTTCTGGGTCTAGGAGAGAATTGGGAGTAGCCTCAGGCTTTGGACACCATGCAAACTGGGAAAATCCCTTTAACACCAGGCCTTTGAACATAGGTTCGCACTTCCTCCTGGCCACAAAATAAAGTTGGGTGCCTGGGTTTTGCCCTTCCAAATTCTTGATCTCATTTGTGGTGGATAGCTCTCCATCTCTCTGGATCTGTTTCCTCAATTGTCAGATGAGAGAGCTAAGGGACACTGAGAATGAGTGAGAGAAATGCAGCAGTGGCAGGGGCAGGCTTCAAAAGAGCTAAAGAAATGGCAAGTTGTCACTGCTCCCTCTCTGGAAAATCAGTGACTTCTAACTTTATCTGCAAATAGTCTTTGGGGCTTGCAACTAGAAGTTAGTTTGTATTCATTTGTGTCCATAGCCAGGGTAGAGGAGGGTGTGGGTGGGGTTGGGGGGTGCTTGGGGGAGGTAAAGAGATGATTAAGGCAGGGTTCTTGCCCTCAGAGTTTACAACTGGTGTGCTGTGGAAAGAAAGATTTGCTCAGGCACCTGAGCCCCACAGAGTAGGGGAAGGACAGAGTTTAAGCCCATCACCCCTCCTTTCCTGTAGGCTAACTAGCATGCCTTCAAGTGGCATTGCCCCTCCACGAGTTCTACTGGCAGTTCGTCATGACAGGGGAGGGCTCCACCCTCTTTCCCTCTCCCCCAATCCCTTCTTGTTGCCTCTCACCCAGGTATACTACATCAACTTCACTGACTTTGCCAGCTATGAGGTGGTGGTGGACGAGAAGCCCTTTCTGCAGTGTACCCGCAGCATCGAGACGGGCAAGACCAACTACAACACTTGCTACACCGCGGGCGTCTGCCTCCTCAAAGCCCGGCAAAAGATCGCTGTGAAGATGGTGCACGCTGACATCTCTATCAACATGAGCAAGCACACCACTTTCTTTGGGGCCATCAGGCTGGGCGAGGCCCCTGCATCCTAGATTCCCCATATTTGGTCCCTGCCCGTGCCCCTGCCCTAGGTTTGGGAGCCAGGATCCCCAGAACCTCAAAGTGCTGCTGTGGAGTGAGGCATGTGTGTGTTGCAGCTGCAGAGAGAAAGGCCCCAAGGCTATTTATTCTCCAGTGACTCCAGGACGACAAGGCCTGCTTGCCTTTCCTGAATGACCTTGAGTTAACAGGACAGTTGATGAAGCCCCAGGGTTTACATGAAGCCGAAGTGGCTTCCCTGTGTCCATGTTGACTGGCTTAATGGCATGACTCTTCAATCTCAAGGTCCCTGATGTCAAAGTTATCATTTGTTGCACTAAAGTGAGGGTCCGGGGCAGCAGGCAAAAGAAAGCAGAGGTATACTCCAGACTGGGGAGCAAACCCTCTTTGGGGTGGGGTGGGGTGAGGTGGGGTCGGGGTCAGAGGGGAAAGGTCGGTGCTTGTGGCAGAGACCAAGGAACAAACCTGCTGAGCAGGCGCCCTGGGCAGTGGAAGCATTCCTGCTGCTCTGCCTGCAGCCAGCCAGCGGGTCAGCTCTTCCAGCGCAGTCAGAGCCAGTGCAGCAGCTCCCCAGGCTTCAGGGACAGGAGGTTTGCTCTTCCTTGGAGTGATTACAGAGAATGATCACAAACCTGCCTGCATAAGAACCTGAAGCCAGACTTGGGGCCACATGTCTTTCACTTTGTTTACAGCTGTGCTGCAGGCTCAGAAAACTCCCTGGGATCCCTCCCAATTGCCCCCCTTCCCAGCCTGACTAGACCTCCTATGTCTTTCTCCACAGAGCCTACCTCTGTCTGAGACAGGTGCCTAACCTGGGACCTGCGCTTGTGTGAGTCTGGGATACTCTTGAGATTACCTGGGCACAAAGAGAATCTTCTTCCATTTATTAAGCAACACAATATTTATCTAGTCGAGTTGTGTCTAGCGGCAAAGTGTTGGACTGGGTGACCTCCAGAAATTCCTTCAAATCCCAATATTTAGGCACCCCTTTTAATAGCCTACTAAAATCCCCAACCCTCACCTGCCCCTGGGCCTCAGCGAGGCAGAGCTTTTCTACCAGACCTAGAAAGAACAAGAGGTGAGGATAGGACAGGGGTTTTTCAAGTGGCTTCCCTATCTTGAAGCCAGCCACCCAAGCCTTATCTGAAAGGACAGCAGCTGATGCCTGGCTGACCCCCGGCCTGTGCTCTGGCTTCAGAAAGCCACAGAACAGCATGGTGAGCGTGGATTCCAGTGCTGCTCCCCTGAATCAAGGCTTGGGAGAATCTGGGGTCTAGGCATTCAGGCAGGGCTCTGCCCTCTAGTCAGGCCCAAGGACACCACCACCACTTCCCCAAGCTTCCCACAGATGATATGGTGAGACCGTTCAAGAGCCTTATTTCTAACTGCCTGGGCCCAGCCTGGCTCCCGGGTACATGGTCCAGCCCAAAGCTGGGAGGGCCAGTCTTATACAGTCTGCTAATCTTGCTCATGAAATAAGAAACAAGTTTCCTTTTGAGGAGATGGGGAATAAGTTCCTTTGGGCAGCTGAAATTTACCAGGAACAACAGGTTCCACAACCATGCCTTCTCTTTCTAAGCCACTACACTGCTGGACCCTTCAAGGGTCAGGGCAGGAGGCACAGCCATTGTCTGGTTGCTAATGTCAGCCTTGCAAGCCCAGGTGAAGCAAATGTGAGGAATGGGTCTGGCCAGGCTCTTACAGAGTGCCTTGGACAGTCCTCAGGTGTAGCAGGAACAGATGAGAATTTCTCCTTAAAACTTGGAGAGTACTTTCTCTCTTATTATCTCCTTCGATATTACAAATCCTGTTGTTTAGACAAGGCTCAGAGAGGTTAAGTGCTTTGACCAGGATCTCACCCACTGAAGTCACAGGCCTGGGGCTTCATTCAGCCAGTTTGACTCCAACACTATTCCATTGCACGTCAGCTTTGTGTTGAATTTGAGGTCCTGAGGGAACCCAAATAAAAATGGTAATATAGACTCCAAATCCTGTGGGCTCTAGGGAGGGACCCAGAGATGCTCATTTTCACTCCTTGATGGTAATGCCTGTTGTCTTGACTGCCAGAGGCTCTGTGGCAAAAGAGTAGGGCATTTCCTTGGGAAATAGCCATCAGACTTAGAGCTTTCATGTTCAGAATAACTGTCTTGGCACCAGGTCCAAGCAGCAGGTCTCCAGTACCCACAGAACTTAAACCCCTTATGTTCTTTCACTTACCCCATGAATCAAGCAACCATTATGTATGGAGCCCCTACTGCAAGTGAGGTCCTCCTTTGGTTACCCTACAGACGGGCTGCAGGAGCTGGCCACTCCCCATAGCTAAGTGACTCCTTATCTCTTTCTACCAAACCACAGAGGACTTTGTACTGCCAGGATCTCCCAGAGATGGAGGGAAGAGTGAGGACTGGTTCTATAGCCAAAAAGCTGCGAGGAGAGGAAAGAAAAGGTTTCCTAATTGTGGCCCTAAAGGACATTCTGACATCTATCCTATTCTCCAGGTTACAGGGGAGACAGGATTCACACAAATCCTTGATTCATTAGGAACCGTCAAAGGGAACCCGAGACGAGCATGTGAGGAGGGAAGCAATTGAGAGCCTTGCTACAGTGACGTTATAGACAAAGTAGTGAAGCAATTTACTAATAATAGAATGTGGACATAGATTATAGATTAAGCATTTGAATGTTTGCTGACATGAGTTTACCAGAAGGCCAAGTCTTGCATGGAGAATAGGACAAGGACATTTGTGAGCAGGCAGATAACAGAGGTTTGAAGGAGGATTGCATGGCAGGAGCCTCAGCCAGCTGCTTGGGCTTCAGCAGCCAAAGTTGGCACAAAAATCAGCTGTCGGGGCTGCTCAGTTACGGTTCCCTGGAAAATGTAGTCTTTGCCTTATTTCCCCTTCATCCATCCTGAAACCAAATTTCTTTTGCTGAGCAGGAAAGGACTAGAAACCCTGGAGGTGAAAAAGATTTTGATGCACATGTGAGTATGTGAGTTTTATGTAACTTCTGGTGGGTGCAAATCAATTCAGAGAAATTTAGTGCTAGAAAGGACCGTAGAGGGAATCTAGCCCACCTACATTCTGCCCCATATTACTCATGTGGAGACTGAGGCCCAGAGAGAGAAGGTGGCCTGCCCAAGATGAATGACCCACGACTCACAGACTCAGCAGAGTGAGGGAGTGGAGCAGTCCCTGTCCCACACAGCCCCCTTCTTTCTTTCACTCCCAGACTCCCGGCTAAAAGTGAAAGCCCCCTTTGGGAGCCCGGCTAGGCAGGGAGAGAGCAGCTGCAGCCTTCATCAGAACTCTTGTCCCCTTAAGGCGTTCTCCCAGCTCCTGCCTCTGGACTGGCCTAATACCTGGAAGTCCTGAGGCCACCCTGGCACTGCCTCCAGCCTGCTCCTGCCTGGAGTCTCCCCTAGGCAATGTGAGCACAAAGAAGGAACTAGATTTTTTCTTTTAATCTGTGTCAGGGCTCACTCCAAGGGGAGTCAGGGTGTGTCATTTCATTATTAAAAAAGCTTCCAGCTGGGGCATAGGTGTGGACTTTGTTGTGAGAATGGCCAGGAGCAGGCCCAGTGCTGCTTTGGGGGTCAGCATCCAGTGTGAAATACTGTGTATATAAACTATACATAATGTATATAAACTGGGATGTAAGTTTGTATAAATTAATGGTTTATTCTTTGCAAATAAAGCTTTTTCCCCTCTGTTTTTGAAATTGGCTTGAGGAATTCTTACACACTAGATGCTTTTATGCAGGCGCTGCCAATGAGCTAGAAGAAAGCCCAAGGCACCCATTCCAGAGGGGGGCAGCAGAAGGAATGTAGTCTGAACTTCCTGGCAGGTACCTCACCTTCTCTCTGCCCTAGACCACATGCCTGTCCCCTTTACCTTAGGTCTTTGCACTGTGTACAGTCATCACATGAGTCAGGCACCCAGGGCAGAGGCAGCAGGTCACACTGGTAACTATACAGGATGTCCTAGACCAAACTGACAGGTCGATGCGGATAAATCATTAGGACCAAATGGCATCCACCCAAGAGGAATGGAACAGCAGGTTGTGGGCCAAATTGTGTAGCCTGCCATTGCCAACAGTTATTGGGCCAAGAGTCTGAGAGCCTCACCATCCAGAAGGAGAGCTTTATGGTGGCCGGAAGCCAGGCACTCACTTCCATCTGAAGCAAGATGGCTGACTTGGACAAAGGGCAGAGTGAGAAAACCAGGCAAGGTTAAGCAAGTTGCCGGGGGGTGTGGGGGAGAGAAGACAGGAAATTAAACCAGCCTGACCCTTCTATTATAGCATTATGAGGTGGAAACTGAGTGTGGACCAGGGCTGGTAGAGGGTATCGGTTGCTTAAATTTTCAAAGGACTGCTGACAAGATCTTCCACTGTACACTTTCTTTTAAACATTGAGATGCCAGCTTTAGGGCATTTTTGCTCAAGGATGGGAAATGGGAAAAATGGTTGCAGGAGAATCACTTTGTTTAGCTTTCCAAATTTACAAAGTTCAATCACATTCAATATTATTTGATCTTCCCAACAGCCTTTGAGGTAAGCACATGGGGGATCATTAGTCCCATTTTACAGATGAGGAAACTGAGGCTCAGAGGTGACTAATTGCTCTGACTCACATGGCTTGAAGGTGGTAGAGCTTGCACTCAAAGCCCACTGGATCCCAAAGTACCCAGTCCTGCAGGAGTCTCAATAACAGGAGATGGGGCTGCTTGAGAGCTACAGATAGAAAGGTGTCCAGGGATCCTGGGCCCTCAAACATACTAGTTAGAGCATAAGCAGTATCAGAAGGCTGGATTTTTATTCTGTCCATTGTTTTCCTCAATGCTGACAAATGGGCACCTGAAGGGCACCTCTCCCCAGGGCCTTGCCTGCCTCTTGAGACCATCTCCCTTATAGCCCCAAGGAAAACACAGAAGCACTGGAAGGAGGAGAGAGATGAAAGGGGAATTGGGGTTTAGAAAACAACCAAATGGACAGCCCCTCCTCACAATGAGGACTAGCCAAATCAGGAGCAGAAGCCCCATAGGTGACTTCTGTCTCCTGTTTACAGTTCCACACCTTCCAGCCAGGCTAAGTAGCTTCTGGGGATATCTGTCAGACTATCACCAGCTCCTGGGTCTCTGAGCAGCCCAACAGGGTCTTGTGCTGGTCAGTTTGTACAGGGCTTCCCTACAGGGTGCATGGTATTTGTCCACCACTTCCTGGCCCGGCTTCTCAATCTTGGGCACTGGCAGAGGCTCCCCGACTGCCAGAGGAGACAGAAGGAAAAGAGAAGCATAGATAGCTCACTCCTCAGAATGGGCCTCAGCCCTCGAGCTCACACCACCCCAAAACCACCCATCGTGGCCAGCCTCTCCCCCTCTAGACA